CAAACGCTGATCCAATAACCACTTTTAGAATAATGTTTTTGTGTTCTCTAATAGGGCTTCCTCACCCGCCGAAGGGCTCTGTGCCTATTAGGGCCTTTTTTATGGTTAATATCTATGTATGATATCTTTTGGCTTTCAGGCCTGTTGATAATTTATGGCTAGCACCTGGTGTAACTTTAAGCAACTTCTTAGCCGACCCTGTCTTTTTTGTGGTTAAATCTATTTTCTTTCTATTAGGTGTCATCTCTATGGGAACTAGATAGGATTACATTATTATGGAACAGAAATGCAAAGGATTGCAAAAACAGCAGATATAGCACAAAACAGGCTCTTAGTCTAAAAGTTAACTGCCTGCAAGAAGTCACCAGCTAATCTCTTGCAATGGGAGCACACATTTATCAAACAAGCCAGAATGCCAGCAAAAGGGTTTGAATTGAAGCATTTCTTTCATCCCTGGCCACTTCATAGGGTACCAGTGTCTAGGAGATTTATTAATTAGGGTTTAAGTTGGTCTTTATTCAGTGAAAGAGGAGCAGGAGAGCTCTCGGCAGTCAACACAAGAATCTGCAGCAGGGCGAACAAGAACTACAGTAGAAAAGGGGGAGGATACAGGGTGGGGGAGAGGCCGGGGCCAACCTGGAGGGTCCCTTGTGTCCTGAACGGCCTTGCGTGTCAGGTTTTTTCCTCATGACCTCGTCATGGGTGGGATCTCCCATAATGGCTCCCAGCACTGGCCTCCCTGGAGGGGCCGCACCCTGGAGGGCCAGGCCGGTGAGGACGTGGCCCAGCCTCACACATCAGAAGTGTCTCATCCTCTGTTTCTCCTCCCGCGCTCCTACACGTGCGCCCAGCCCTGTTCTCAGGCTCCTGTCCTGCCCTTCCAGGGAGATGGCCGAGAGGAGGCGGGGGACAGCAGGCTCATCTGAGGCCACCCTCTCCTAGAAGCCAGGGTCAGCAGAGCTGGTCCGGCCTCCCTGGAGTGGACTTGGAGCCATGTCATCCTGCAGGCAGCTCATCACCCCTGTGTCTGGGAGATCCAGGGCCCCGCTCACTCCCTTTTCCCAGAGGTAACTGTGGCTTGTGGACAGTAGAAATTCCTGGGATCATGGTGATACCACAAAAAAAGCCTTCATTTGTTATGTGCTGAGTAGGGCAAGGAAAGTTGAATAGTGAGTTTGGTATTATTGGAATTTCTGTGATGAACTCGGACAGTCCTAACATGGTTCATTAGCAGAAACTAACCCCAAGGACCCCAAAGGCAATCCTCCTGGAGGATGGGGTCAGCAGCATGAGCTGAGGGCTGGAGGTCAGCTCATGGCTGGAGCTAGAAGCTCCTTGAACACGGCCCACCAGGTGCTGGCCTCTGAGTACGACCTGTTAGACCTGCAAGGGCAGACCTCACGTGCTTGACCGCAGGGTGGGCTGGCGTGAGCTTGCTTATAGTGTAACCGGGGAGAGGGGGTCAGTGTGCGTCAGATTGTCATGTTCATGGGGTCCCCACTTGACCTTGACCCAAGCAAGGGAACGGAACTGAAGGAATAATATGACTTTCCAGTTCTCATAGAACGGCTCCCTACAGGTCAAGTCAACCTGTAGGATTCTCAGATAATTTCTGGGCAGAGCAGGGCCATCTGGAGAGACTAAACATCTGCTAAAGAGAGAACACGGGGCTTGAGTGAAGAATTAGAAAAATGAAAGGGATGTGTCCACATTGTCTATTAAACTGATGACACCGATCATACTCATTACCATTCACTCAAGAAACATTTGCAGGGTCTTCTCTGGTGGTCTGGTGGGTAAGAACTTGAGCTCCCAATACAGGGGACCCAGGTTCGATCACTGGCCAGGGAACTACATCCTGCATGTTGCACCTAAGAGTTTGCACATTGAAGCTAAAGATTTGGCATTTTGCAACCAGGACCCCAAGCAGCCAAATAAATTTAAAAAAAAAACAAATATTTTTAAGTAAAAATAAAAAAATAAACATGGTGTATCAATCAATTTTTAAAAAAATAGAAAAAAAGAAAGAACATTTTCTAACATCTGCTATTTTGTCAGGACCTTTTTCTGGACACTGACCACATCAAGGTGTATAAGATAAGGGTCTCTCCCTTCGTAAGCCCAGAGTATTTCCTGGAAAAGATAATCAAGTAAACAGAGAGTAATGCAAGAACATGACAAAGGCAGGGACAGAGGCTTACCTTCTGGTTGTGTGTGTTTGGGAGGGGATGATAAAGAACAAATGAACTAAATAGTATGTTAAATAGTCATAAATGTCCTGGAAAAAGAGAAAGCAAGAAAAGGAACAAGAGAGGAGGGAAGGGATCTTGCTGTTGTAAACAGGATGATGACAGGGTGACACGTGAGCAGGGACTGGGAGGAAGTGAGGGAGTGGCCCTGCAGTCCTCCGGGGGAAGAGGAAACTGTGGGTGCAAAGGCCCTGAGGCAGGGACACGCCTGTTGTGTTCCTGAGCCCAGCTGGGAGGCCAGCGACGCTGCCGCACAGTGAGCAAGAAGGACAGAGGTGAGAAGGGAGGCCGAAAGGATGATGTCATTTGCTCTGGTTAGGGTTTGCAATAGAGGAATGATGGGATCTGACTTCAGTCTCTTGCTTTTGTTTAAAGCTGGAGTCAAGCAAGGACTTTTTTTTGTTTTTTCCTTGCTGCTCACGGGCTTTTTCTGATTGCAGTGAGCGGGGGCTACTCTCCCTCGCGGCTCACAGGCTTCTCCTGGCGGTGGCGTCTCTTGTTGTGGAGCACAGGCTCTGGGCCCACAGGCTTCAGCACTTGCAGCTCTCGGGCTCAGTACTTGTGGCTCATGGGCTTAGTTGCCCCGCAGCATGTCCGGAATCTTCCAGGACCAGGGATGGAACTAGTTTTCCCTGTACTGGCAGGCGGATTCTTAAGCACTGGAGCACCAGAGAAGTCCCCGACTTTGGTTTTAGGAGAACCACCCTGGTTGCTGTGTTGAGAACAGCCTGGTGGGAATAACAGCAGAAGCAGGAGGACCAGACAGCAGGGCATGACAGAAATCTGGGATAAAGAGGAGAGGGGCTTGGGATGGCGTGGGAAGAAGTGACCAGATCTGGACATATTTTGGAGATAGGATAGAACCCACAGGATTTGCTGATGGGTCAAGTTTAGAGAATGAGAGGAAGAGAGCAGAAAGGAAGACTACATGTTTTTGTGTTGGGATTTTTAAAAAATCAGTTTTATGGAGGTATGGGCTGCCCTGGTGGCTCAGATAGTAAAGAATCCGCCTGCAATGAAGGAGACCTGGGTTCGATCCCTGGATAGGGAAGATCCCCCGAAGAAGGGTATGGCTACCCACTCCAGTATTCTTGCCCAGGGAACTCCATGGACAGAAGAGCCTGGCGAGCTACAGCCCATGGGGTCACAAAGACCCAGACATGACTAAGGGACTAACACTTCCACTTTCACTTCATGCAGATACAGTTTACACAGAATAAAAGTCACCATTTTTTTAAAGTGCAATTCTTTATTAAAAAATATTTATTTATTTTGGCTGCCCGGGTTTTAGTTGTGGCATGCAGGATCTATTTCTCTGACCAGGGATGGAGCCCAGGTCCCATGCATTGGGAGTGCAGTCTTAGCACTCCAGGAAAGTCCCCTTGAAATCACCATTTTTGATAAACTATAGTCCTACGAGTTTTGGTAAATGCATCCAGTCAGGTAACCATCACTGCCATCAAGATATAAGCAAAAAAAAAAAAAAAAAAGATATAAGCCAGTTCTGTCATTATTTTAAAACCCCCAATGTGCCTTTGGGGGCAGTCCTTCCCCCACCCCAGCCCCCAGCAACCACCTGTCTGCTTTCTGGCCCTGCAGCGCTGTCTTTTCCACCACTGTGTCATATAGATGGATTCACGGTACGGAGCCTCTGGAGTTCCACTGTCTCCCTCAGCAGCATGTGCTTAAGGTTCACCATGTTGTGTGTGCATGCGTGCGTACAGAGTTGCGTCAGTCGTGTCCAACTCTTTGTGATCCTATGCACTGTAGCCCACCAGGCTCCTCTGTCTATGGGATTCTCCAGGCAAGAATACTGGAGTGGTTGCCTTGCCCTCCTCCAGTGGACCTTCCCGATCCAGGGATGGAACCCACATCTCTTATGGGTCCTGCATTAGCAGGTAGGTTCTTTACAACCAGCACCACCTGAGAAGCCCCATGTTGCATATAGTCTGTTCCTTTTTGCTGATGAGTAGAATTCTACTGAACGGATGGACCACAGTTTGCTTATCACAACTGAAGAAACACTTGGGTTGTTTTCACTTTTTTGTCAATTCTGAATAAAGCTGTTATAAATATCTGCAGACAGATTTTGTGTGAATATGTTCTCTTCTATCTTGGGTCAGTCTTAGGAGTAGGATTGCTGCGTGGATGTTCAACCTTATATGAAACAGTCAGCATCACTTCCACAGGGGTGATACAACTTTTCATTCCAGTTGCTAGGTGTCCTTGCTGACCCTAGGCATTGTCTGTATTATGAGGTTCCTAAACTGAGCAGTTGGAAGGAAGGACTGCTGCCTTGTGTTGAGATGGGAAATTCTATCAGTGGAGCAAGTTTGAGAGGGAATATTGGGATTTGTTTGGAGTCATAATAAGGTTGAGATGTAGCCATATTATATGATATGTACAAGGGGGTGTTGAGTATTTGAAGGCACATGGGGGGAGAGAACTCTGGAGTCACCTTTACGGGTGGTGTGCAGAACCGAGAAACCAGATGCTATCACCCAGGGATACAAGGAGGTAAAGGAGCAGAGAAGCCCCAGCACTGATGTTGGGGCATCCACCACGGAGAGTGTGAGAAAAAGAGGAAGAACCAGTAAAATAGACTATGTTCTGTGAAAGTGATTATTCCCCACTTGGCATGAATTGAGACAACTGTGTCCCTGAAAACTGGTATCTGCCCTGGTTTGCCTGTGCGTGATTATTTCATAGCTGCCAACAGGAAATCAGAGCCACGGGTTCATGGGGTCAAGGTCAAGAGGTGATGCAGATGAACTTGGCCCCCACAATGACACACACCGTCCTCCCCCGTGCCCTGGTTTTGCTCTTACTCACTAGCTCACTGCCAATCTGCCTGGTGTTGTCACGTGAGGTCTAAGGTTGCAGGCTTTGAAGGTCCTACTCACAGCCCAGTCATAGTTCCCGTGAGCAACTTTGTGATGCTATGAGCACAACCACCTGGGCACTGGTAGCAAAGTTTGACTTGAAGCTGGGAAAAACCATTCTCTCCACCTTCAAATAGAATCCCACACTCCCCAGGCAGTCTGGGGAGCTTGGGGAGATGTTGCCCTTGGCCTGGAGACTGGTGAGCTCATAAGGGCACCATCAACAGGGGCAATGATGAAATTCCTTCAGTTGCCACCTCGGGCTGCAGCATTGACTGGGATGTTTTGAGCAGGAAAGGGAGAGAAAAAAAAAAAAAAGACTTGCTCTTTTAATATTTATTTATTTACTTACTTTTTATTTGGCTGTGTGGGGGCTTAGTTGCCCTGAACCTGCCTCCCCTGCATTGCTAGGTGGATTCTCAAAAAGACTTGATCATTTGCTCTTGAGTAAGCATGACATGAAAACCTGAAACTAACGGGGGCACCCCCTGAAGGTCCAAAGCTCTTGTGGGCAGCTGTGAGCTCAAAACTGTTATAACCTGTTTCCAAAACAACGAAAAGAGTCTTCTGTAAAAAGCCAAAATTTTTCTGTAAATCTAAAACTATTCAAAAACAGAGGATCTGACACTGGTATATCAGTTACAAAAGCATTTAGCTGCAGTAAAAGAATATCTGACCAGCAGTGGCTTAATAGCACACAAGAAGGATAGAAACGGCCCTCTGGGATAGGGGCAGATTCTCAACCACATCCTTACACCTGCAGTTTCTGAATCTTTGTTCACTGCCAATTTAGCACATCAATTTGTAGCATTGTGGTGATAAGATGGCTGCTAAAGGCTAGGTATTACATCTGCATCTTAGAAGGAAGATGGTGGGAAAGGATCATGCCAGCTGAATAGGTCCCTTCTATTAGAAAAAACAACAACTACAAAGTCTTCCCAAGAAACCACCCATCGGATGTCTGCTTCCATGGTGACCTTGCAGGAGACTTTAGAAGGGAGCATCCAGCTTTTCCAGTCTCTTTGGTAGAGGACGCAAGGGAGGGGCATTGGAATGGGTTTTGCCTTAGCTAACCAACGGAGTCTGCCACCAAGGGGGCTCAAACGCGTGGCCTTCTCAGGGGCTTTGGTTGGGACGGCATCGAAGGCAGGGGTGGAGGGTGGCAAGGGACAGGGCGTGGGGGAAACAGAGGCACGAGGAGCCAGGGGCCAGAGAGCAGAGATGGAGACAGAGAAAGGGTAAGGGGACAGGGACAGGGCGTGGGGGAGCGAGGAGCAGAAGGAGAGCCTGGAGGACAGGGGGAAACCGAGGCAGGGAGGAGGGTGACGGATGAGGTGGCGGAGGACTGAGCCCAGAGAGGCGGGTAAGGGGACAAGGGAAGCGTGGCGACAAAGAGGGACCAGGTCACAGAGGGAAGGGGCCACACCTGAGCCACCTGCTCGCTTCCCAGGCCAGGTTAGCACTTGTTTATTTGCCTAACATTTCTTTCTTTATCTGTCTGTGTCAGGCCTCACTGGTGGCACGCAGGATCTCCACTGTAACACGCGGGCCTCCCTGGCTGCAGCACACGGCTCTAGAATGTTTGGGTTCGGTAGTTGCAACCTGTAGGCTTAGTTGCCCCAAGGCATGTGGAATCCTAGTTCCCCAGCCAAGGATCAAACCCAAGTCCCCTGCATGGGAAGGCGGATTCTTAACTACTGGGCCAACAGGTAAGTCTCAGTGTGTGTTAATAAGACCAACCCCACAGCATTTGCCTCAGTCTGATATTAACCAGATGCGTGAGTGGGTGCCAAGTTGACTCAGTCGTGTCTGACTCTTTTCCACCCCATGGACTGACTGCAGCCTGCCAGGCTCCTCTGTCCATGGGGTCCTCCAGGCAAGAATACTAGGGTGGGTTGCCATGCCTTGCTCCAGGGGACTTTCCTGCTAAACCAGGGATTGAACCTGAGCCTTCTGTGTCTCCTACATTGCACCCAGATTCTACACCACTGAGTCACCAGGGAAGCCCAGTATTAACATGGGGGTGATAAAATACGAACAAAAGTCTAAAAACAGTGCTGCCAGTAAAGGATACCTACCTACCAACCACAACGGCACTGCCTTCTCAAGTCCACTGCACTGACGTTTTTCACTGGGGACCCTGAGGCAGCCACGCGTCTCTGTCTCCTGCACGGCTGGGCCTACATGTCTTCCTGTTGGAAAAAGTCTCGCACACACTCGTCAAACCAACCACCCAGCCCTCTCTCTGCACACTGGGAAGCCTGGGTGGGGCTGGCACAGGGTCCCAGAAAGAGTTCGGCCTCCCGGGCCCTGGGAAGAAGGGCAGGCGGTGGGAAAGGGGAGCCTGCGTGACATTAGCTGGTCCCAGGTAGAGCCCCTGGTGGCCTAGGACTGGGCTCCCAGCCCCACCCGTGGGGGCAGCTGAGGTGACTCAAGGCTCCCCCCGCCCCCCAAGCGGAGACCTGCTGTCTCATTGTTTTTCTCCTTCGTCCTTCTGAGGGAGGATTCAGAGAGTTGGCAGTGAGTCACTTGGTGAGTCAGCTTCTGGGAGCCCTGGCTGCCTCAGCCCAAATCTGAGATAGTTGGTTCTGCGGGGCGGGCAGAGGGGAACACACCACTCTCTTGTGTGTTTGGGGGGTTCTCCCAGCCAGCCCCATTTCAGAAATTCAACAGGCAGGTCGTGGGCCTGCCTGGTCCTGCAGCCCCCACCTAACTTGGAGGTGACAGAGCTGGGCCGCCTGTCTCCTCTCCCAGCTGGCCTCCCTGGTGGGAGGGGGTTATGAAAGGACAGTGCAAAGGTTGGAGGTCAGGATGTTGACTCCTAGGTGGGTAGGACATCTGGCTCCCTGGCCAGGCCACCATCCAAACTCCTACCTGCCTGCCCCCATTTTAACCCCAACTGGACCCCTGCTGACCAGTGTCCCCCATACCCAGGGGAAAAAAACAGGAACTGGGGAATAAATAATCAATAAATGGGTTTCCCTGGTGGCTCAGACGGTAAAGAATCTGCCTACAATGCTGGCGGCCCAGGTTGGATCCCTGGGTCGGGAAGATCCCCTGGAGAAGGAAACAGCAAACCACTCCAGTATTCTTGCCTGGAGAATCCCATGGGCAGAGGAGCCTGGCGGGCCTGGGGTCGCAAAGTGTTGGACACGACTGAACGACTCAGAAGGGGGAATAAATAATTTATTGAAGTTGGAGGAATAAATAAGATACCTGGGTGCGGTTACAAATAACTGTAAAAAGCATTGACATGTATATACAGAAAGGCGCTCCGGGCCTAGGGGGCGGGGCCTGAGCCCGGGGAGGGGCGGGGCCTCCCGCGGAGGCGATCCGGCGCCGGGTCGCGGGCGCCCCCCAGAGGTAGACGGCTTATTTACAACGGAGGAGAGGGCGCGAGGTCTCCCCGGGTCCCTAGTCCGCGTGGCGCCTCTCCGCCCTGCGAGTGCGCCGCGCCCCCAGGGCCCAGCCCCGGCGGCTTGCGGGCCCGCCCTGCTGCGAGCGCCCGCGGAGCTGCACCCCCTGCACGATCCTCTGCACCCAGGAGCGATGGGCGGCCAGACTGATGTAGACCCCAGGCCGGTTGCGCTCCGCACAGCCCTCGCCCCAGCTGATGACGCCCGCCAGCAGCCAGGTGCCCTCGACCTGGCACATCAAGGGGCCTCCGGAGTCGCCCTGCGGAGAGGAAGGAAGGTGAGGGGCCCCCGTGGGCCAAGTCCAGCACCCGCGCAGCAGCAGGTGGCGGACGGGCCATTTCTCCAGACCCTGGGGGTTATGGAGCCATAACTAGTGCCCCCGGGACAGGGAGCGCCCCCTTCCCAGGCTCACTCCTGGTGAGAAGTACCTAGTGCTAGACGGTCTCCCTCACAGCCCTGGAGGCACGGAGCGAGGGTTGTGATCTGCCTCACTGATGAGGAAACCACGGCTCAGAAAGAAGAGTGTCTCAGACCGGGTGTGCAAGGTCCCACAGTCCGCCATCCTCCTCCCTGTAGCCCGCTGGGGGGGGGGGGGGGGGCAGGACCATAGCACCCCCTCCTTGGATGCGGCTCCCTGAGAATGGAGTCAGGCACACCATAGGTGCTCACCATGTCTGATGTATGAACAAAGGCAAGAACCGCCGAGCCAGGCTGCGGCTGGGTTCTGTAGGCATCTCTCTGTCTAGGGGGACTACCAGGTCAGGGCAGATACTAGAAGGAGGCCAGGCAAGGCGAGGGTGATGGAGCTGAGTGGGGCAGGGCTGGGAAGGAGGCGGCTGCTCACCAGACAGGCGTCACGCGCCCCCTCCAGGTAGCCAGCACACAGCATGTCCTCGGTGATGGCGCCCTGCCCGGCTCCCCGCCAGTACAGGCGGCCGCAGGTGGCCGAGTCGATGATGGGGACCTTCAGCTTCTGGAGGGTCTGAGGGTGGGGCAGGGGCACTGGGAGCAGAGAGGAGAGAGTCAGCTTGGGAGGCTCTCCTGCTGGCCTCAGTTCCCTCCATTTTCCTTAGCAGCGTTTCTCAAAGGGTAAGTGGATCAACTCTGTCAGACTCGGCCACGATGCCTGCAGAAAACCCAAATTCCAGGACTCCACTCTGGACCTACTGAATCCTAAAGGAAGGTGCAGCCTGAAATTCTGAATCTTTAATGAGATCTCTGATGCCCACAAGAAGGTTCAAACCAATGACCCTGCTTGTCCGGTCTCAGGCACTACTTTATCCAGCTCGTGGACTGCTACAGACTAATTGCCGCTGGGTGTTGAATGTTATCGGACTTGAAGGACCTCCCCATCCTCTAGAGGGATTGTAAACCCTAGGATTGGTTGGTCACTTTCCCCAGTCCATAAATCCAGTTTTCCCAGGAGCCCCTAAGAATGACCATGGGGAGGCTGGCTGAAACTTCAGTGTCAGTGGGATTCCCCAGATGCCCAAAATGGTGTCATTTCTCTTAATTCTTCTGAAATTTGGTTAAAGTGCCATTTTCTTACATTTTGTCCTTTCTTAATCTCTCCTCTCTCCCCCCTCTCTCTTTCTACACACACACACACACACACTACAGCATCTCTGCTTCTTAGTTTCTAATCTGCTTTGTGTTCTAGATGAGGTTTTCCAAACTTCCAGACGTGGTTTGTCAATTATATTTTACCTTTACGGAGATTGCATTTTATCCTGGGAATTTTGCCTGCAATTGTGTCATGGTACCACCAGGGGGCACCGATTTCTGATTTGGAATCTTAGGGCTGTTCTCATATTCACCCAGTTGGGTTTGGCCCCATAGAAATCTCTAGTGTGTGTGTGGTCAGTCACTAAGTGGTGTCTGACTCCTTGCGACCCCATGGACTGTAGCCCTCTAGGCTCCTCTGTCCTTGGGATTTTCCAGGCAAGAATACTGGAGCAGGTTACCATTTCCTTCTCCGGGGGATCTTTCCAACCCAGGGATTGAACTGGCATCTCCTGTGTCTCCTGCATTGGCAGGCGAATTTTTAACCACTGAGCTACCTGAGAAGCCCCAGAAACCTATCAGTCTTTCCTATATCACTTCATAGCTTGGTTGATCTGGCAGTCAGAACACAGCCAAAGTTGCCTTTAAACTAGAACTGATCTGAAGTTGTCCACCTTGGTTTCTAGGTCATCACATCTCTGGGCTGCAGACCATCTTTCTTCCTCTGGATCATGCTCAGCCCCTGTCCTCTGTTCTTTGCCACCCATGGGACCTGTCTCTCCCAGTGTTTGCTACCCTCTGTCCCCCCCACCCCCGCCCCGGGAGAAGCCGCACCTCCATCGTGGATGCTCCCCCAGCCAGCAATCCAGCAGTTGGTGTCCGAAGAGAGCTGGACGGTGGAGTCAGGCAGGCAGATGGGCAGGACGCGCTCAGAAAACTGGATGGCGTGCTCCAGGCGCACCAGGGCGATGTCAGCACGGGAGCCCTCCTTCCAGGAATACACAGGGTGGGGCTGCGCCCAGGCGATACCCACCTCCTGGGACCTCGGGCCAGGGTTCCTCAGCTGCCAGGCCCCCAGCAGCACAGAGAACTGGGTTGGTTTGTCCAGATTACTAGAAGGAAGAGGGCGGGGGTGGTATCAGCCAGGAACTGCTGGGTGGCCAGGAAGGGCCTGGGAAGGGTTTCTGGGGAATGGCACGCACATGAAGACCCCTGGAGTGCAAAAGGGGGGCTTCCCTGGTGACTCAGTGGTAAAGAACCCGCCTGCAATGCAGGAGACAGGGGTTCGACCCCTGGGTTGGGATGAACCCCTGGAGAAGGGAATGGCTACCCACTCCAGTTGTTCTTGTCTGGGAAATTCCATGGACATTGGAGCCCAGAGGGCTATAGTCCATGGGGTCACAAAGAGCCAGACAAGACTGGGCACACACTCGCTGTGTGCAAAAGGGGCTTCTGGGCGGAAGCCGGAGCTCTCCTGAGGGACCCAAGACTGGACGGAGGCCCAGAAACCGGGTCTGGGTGGGCAGCCTGGGGTCCGGGAACCCGAGTGGAGGGGCGGGCGGAGCGCAGGCACGTACTCCTTGAAGCAGTGGGCGGCCGTGAGCACCCAGTGGCTGGTGAGCAGGGAGCCCGCGCAGTGGTGAGTGCCATTCTTCTGGATGCTCACGACCCAGGGCCACTCGGCATCTGAGCTGTCCTCGCCCCCCACGATCCGGTTCAGCTGCAGGCGCTTCCCGCAGGCTGGGGGCCCTGGCGACGGAGGGGGGGGTTGTCTGTCACACTCTGGGCGCCGTCCGTCCCCCTTCCAGCTCCCTTCCCCGCTTCAAACACCGAGGCCTGTGCGCCGCTCTCCCTTCAACCCGGCCCGGCCACCTGCCCGCCCTGACCCTTCCATCCTCTGCCTTCCCCGAGCTGGGCACTCCGTGACCTAGTCCCCTGGTCCTTTCACCTGCTGGGGCGGCGCAGTCACCGCCCCGCTCCACACACACACACACACACACACACCGCCTCTCCTCCACCCTTGACCCTCTGGGCCTCCTCTCCTGCGTACCTTCGTCTCCAGCTCAAACCCTCTCTTGCCTCCACTGCCCACTCCTGACTGCCCGCCACAGACAGACACACAGACGCTGCCCTGCCCTCCAGGCTTCTTCCCTCCCCCGCTTCCCTGAGGTCAGCTCAGACTCACCAGCCGTCTTGACAGCATCTAGGGGGGCTGAGGGCAAGAGAAAGAAAAGGTCAGGCTGGTGGGGGGGCACTCCCGTGCCCTGCGACCCTCCCCAGCAGCTGAGTTTCCAGGCCTCGGGGTCACACTGCCGGGTGGGGCATTCCTGGATCCTGGGCAGGGGGGGCAGACACCTCAGGCCCTGGCTGTGAGCAGCGGCCTCGGCCTCCCCGTAGCTTCATGTCAGCCTGTGCCCTGGGGGCTGTGGGGGGCCAGGTCTGGGGGTTGGGTCTCACGGTGGGTGAGCATGAGAACCCCCTCACAGGCCCCAGGTCCGGATGCTGCCTCCCCAGCAGTGGACCAAGGAGACGGGGGAGACAGGAGTGGAAGGGAAGAGGGTAAAGAAGCTGAGCCAAGCGCCCTGAGCGCTGACCGGGCCTAGGTGTACCTGCAGTGTTTGCTGTGAGTCTCACGGCTGCGGGGGAAACTGAGGCTCAGAGCAGGCAAATAACAAAACAGAGAGGCCGAGACAGCAGGGGAGAGGAGAGGAGGGACTCAGGAGGACCGGAGGAAGCGGGGGTGGACAGTGGGGAAGGCCCGGGCCCACAGGCCCGCAGGACTCACCTGGAGCAGCCAGAATCAACAGGGAGGCCAGGACCCGGAGGCAGGGCGCCCCCAGCAAGGGGGGAGTCGCGGGAACCACCATGGCGCCGACGGGAGTGCCCGGTTCCCTGCAGGCGCCCCAGGTTTTATCCTGGGAGGCGGAATGCCGTCGGACCAGTCCCCCGAGTGAGTGGCGGTAGGTCACAGGGAGGGGTGGGGCTTCGGGGAGGAAATAAGCCGTTAAGGGGTCTGGGGGGTGGGCTTCCAGCTGGGCCCTCTGCCTGGGGCCTGCATAGGGGCCCTGCAGGGGCAAGGCTGGGCCTTGACGTTGACTGGGGGGCGGGGCAGAGGAAGGCCCCCCAAGCTTGAAAGGGACGTTGTCCCGGGTGGGAAAGGGAGGCGCTGGACCCTGCAGGCCAGGAAGCTGGGTGTGGGCTGTTGGGAAGGCCCCGGGGCCTCGGGGAGGTGGGGGCTGGCGAGGGGCTGCCAGAGGCTCCCTAACGGGCCCTGTGACTCAGCGGGAGACCTGGCCCAGCCCGGGGCTCCGGATTCCGTTAACCCACTTCCCGAAGGCCCGTGAATCAGGCCCCCAGGAGCCGCCTGTCCCAGGTCCACCCTCCTGTGGGCCCTGTCACTGGGCAGCAGAGGATTCATCTCACCTGGATGTCCGGGATGCCCGGGCGGGGCAGCCAGCTGTCCAGGTGGCCGAGATGGATGTGGCTGCCTGCGGAGGGCTGGGAGGCCCCACACCCCGCCCCTGCTCTCCCGGGACCACCCCCCCACACTCCTCACTGGAGGTCAGAGGGCTGCTGGGTAGTGCTTGAGGGGGGAGCCCCAGGAGCGGGGGTGGTGTTGGATCCAGGTGCTTCCCTGAGTAGCCTGCCCGCCTGATCCCAGAGCGCTCACCCTGCAATCTGCCTTCCAGACACCCGCACCCCAAGCAGGAGGAGTGGGGCTTTCTCCAAGATGAACTGTGTATCTCTGACCTTCCGTCATTTGATCCACAAACTTTGCACTGGCCTTTACTGTGAATGGACATAACAGTAGGTAAACCAGTCCATCCTAAAGGAAATCAACCCTGATTGTTCATTGGAAGGACTGATGCTGAAGCTGAAGCTCCAATACTTTAGCCACCTGATGTGAAGAACTGACTCATTGGAAAAGACTCCAATGCTGGGAAAGATTGAAGGCAGGAGGAGAAGGGGTTGACAGAGGATGAGATGGTTGGATGATATCACCAACTCAATGGACATGAATTTGAACAAACTCCAGGAAATAGAGAAGGACAGGGAAGTCTGGTGTGCTGCAGTCCATGAGGTCGCAAAGAGTCAGGCCCGACTTGGCAACTACTCTTGCATCAGCTCTGCTAAAGCCTATGACTGTGTGGATCATAACAGACTGTGGAAAGCTCTTAAAGAGATGGGAATACCAGACCATTGTACCTGTCTCCTGAGAAACCTGTGTACAGGTCAAGAAGCAAATTAGAACTCCGTATGGAATGACTGACTGGTTCAGGACTGAGAAGGCGTGCGCCTGGCCGTCCGACGTCACCCTGTTTGTTTAACCTCCACCCTGAGCACAGCATGAGAAATGCCGGGCTGGGTGAGTTACAAGCTGGAATCAAGATAGGCAGGGGAAACCTCAACAACCTCAGATATGCAGATGATATCACTCTAATGGCAGAAAGCAAAGAGGAACTAAAGAACCTATTGATGAGGGTGAAGGAGGAGAGTGAAAAAGCCAACTTAAAACTAAATATTAAAGAAAACTAAGATCATGGCATCTGACCCCATCACTTCATGGCAAATAGAAGGGGAAAGGGTAGAAGCAGAGACAGATTTCCTCTTCATGGGCTCTATAATCACCGTGGATGGTGGCTGCAGCCATGAGAACAACAATAGCCACCCCCTTTAACCTGCAAAGTCTCTATTATTATTCCCATTCTGCAGGTGAGCAAACTGAGCCCATTTAGGGAGGTTAGTGACTTACCCAAGGTCTCCCAGCTGGTGAGTGGAGGAACCCAGAGGGGAACCCCATTTCAGAGCCCAGTCCAGTCGACGGACCAACCCGCGTCAGAAGTGCGGGGTGGGTGGGAGTTCAGGGGAGGCACCTGATGTTGGCAGGGAATGAGGGCAGCGAGCGAGGGCTGCCCAGAAAGGAGGACCTTGAAAGGGAGGCTGGGGACTTCCCTGGCCGTCCAGTGGTTAGGAATCTGCCTGCCAATGCAGGGGAAACCTGTTTGACCCCTGGTCCTGGAAGATCCCACATGCCTCAGAGCGACTAAGTCCACGAGCCTCAACGACTGTGCCCTCATACCCTAGAGCCCATGCTCTGCAACAAGAGAAGCCGCAGCCTTGAGAACACGCTGCAAGGAAAAGCAGCCCTCCCTCGCCGCAGCTGGAGAAAGCCCATGCACAGCGATGACGACCCCACTCAGCCAGGAGTAAATAATTTTCCTTTTTAAATGGGGGAGGCTGAAGGAAAGGCTGGAACTGACCCTGCAGAGGCTGGGGATGGGGGCCGCAGGGGAGGGAAGCCGAGGTTGGGAGAGAGAGAGAGGGAGTAAGCGCCTGGTGGGTGAGTTGGGGCGCTGGGAGGGCCTGCTGTGCGGGTCCTCAGTGGGCAGACTGCCCACCAGGGCTTCTCCAAACCCCACGGCTTAGCCAGCACACATCCTGCACCGCCCCCCACCCCCGCCCCAGAGCCTTCCCACCTTCTCAGGATGTTAGGGCTTCCAAGAGCCTGTGAGACTCCCTGGAGATGGTTGGTACCAAGGACCACTGGTGTGTCTCACTGGCCCCTGCTTCGGTGGGGCAGGCAGGAGGCAGCTCAAACCTGGGTCCAGAGGTGCCCTCCTGCTGCATGGAGGCCCCTGCCCCACTCCACCCAAAGACAAGGCCAGGATGGGGTGCCCGAGCCTGAACGGCCCCTGGCTGACTCACTCACCTCTGTCCCAGGACTGGGGGCAGGGAGACTGTGGGGAGACAGGGTGGCCCGAGTGAGGGGCACCTCGGCTGGGATCCGAGTCGCAACGCCAGCGGGGTGAGGGGAGGGCGTCCCCCCGGCCCCTCCCCCACCTGCTGTCTGTCCCGGGTCCACACTGCGCCCCTCATGCTCCCCCAGCCCACTCCCTTCCTGCAGCTAGGGCGGTTGGCCTCCGCAGGTCACCCCACAGGCATTTATTTACTGGGCACCTGTTGTATGCCGGGTCCAGGGCTGACATCAGGTCCTACCCTCAGGCTGCACACATCTCCAGGGGGTGGGGGGCAGGTGAGCAGGTAGTGACAGCACAGTGTCCTGGGCCGACGGGCACAGAGGCCTGGGACGGGGGTAGGAGGGAGGGGGTGGAGAGAGTGGACCCTGGAGGGCCCTCCCGAGGGTGGGTGCCCTGTGCTGCGACTCCCAGAGGGGAGGGACGATGAGGAGGGTCCCCACGGACCTGGGCTGCGACTTGGTGCCCACTGGTGCTCAATGGGTGCTTGTCGAGCGAATAAACAAGTGAGGGAGACTTGAGTCTGGAGAATTCCACTGGGGACCGGCCGTGCCAACCGGCCTCTCCGGTTCCTCTCTGTGCCAGCTTCTCCTGCCATTCTGCACCACTGCCCGGGGTGACCCAAGGGGCAGGCATGTGCCCCGAGATGTTGCTGTCCTCGAGACGGGGTGGCCAGGAAGATGGGGAGAAAAGGAAGTCCAGAAAAACCAGCGGAAAATTCCTGGCACAAGTCCTGGAAAAGGGACCCCCAGACCGGCTCTCCAGTTCCCAAGGAGTGGAGGTCTTGGCCTGATCCAGCGTTCATTCAAACAGAATATTCATTGAGTCCCCACCCCGACCCGCTGTACACCAGATGCATGCCAGGCAATCTGGCCGGGCATCTCTTCACCGGGGCCGGAGATGGATGGGCTGCCCACCCTGCCACCCCCCTCTCCGTGTCCCTGCCAGGCCGTCCCGGGGCCGCTGGTGAATTTGCAGGGAGCTGGGGGTGGCAGGTAGGGCTGCAGAGGTACCTGAGGGCAAGCCGCCAGAGCCAGCAGAGCTCAGTGCAAAGAAGCGACTCGCGCCCCACCCCTCCTGCAGCATCTCAGCTGTGGGCACCGGCCGGGCAGGGCAGACATCCCTTGATCTGACAGATAATGATCAGGGGTATCCCTTCATCATTCAGCGAAGTCTACTGAGCACCTACTGCAATACAGCCGTGAACCATCCTGAAGCTATCCTGCCCCTGTGACAGAGATGCCGGGGGAGAGAGAAGAAACAACATGAGCGAATAAATCATTTAATCTAGTAGCTGCTCAAGTCTATGGGGAAAACCAAAGCTGGGAGGCGCTCTGGTGAGGGGATGGGGATGGCAGAGGGTGGGAGGGGGAATGGGAGGCGGGGGGCGGGGTGGGGGGGTCATAATCTTAAGTCAGGAGCCCGGGACAGGCAGCCTTGAGCTGAGGCTGGCAGGACAGGGCCGAGGTCAGAGCCCATTCCAGCCGCAGGAGGAACCAACTCAGAGGCTTGGGTGGTCCAGTGGTTAAGACTTCGCCTGCCAGTGTGGGGAGCACAGGTTCAATTCCTCTTCAGGGATCGAAGACCCTGCAGGCCACATGGCCACAGAACAAAAGCTCGGGTGGGTGGAACTGGGGGTGGCCTGGCCCGGCCTCCCGGCCTCCCCGGGGAGGTGTCACTGAGCCTGGCTCCAGAGGACAAGCTGGCGACACTAGGAGAGGTGGGAAGAGCGTTCCGGGGTGAGAGGCCACGGCTCAGGGCACAGGGCCAGGGTGCTCGGGACAGAGGCCACTGGACCACCAGGGTCCTTGTGGACCTGCCCGTAGAAGGGAGCCTTGGCCTGGGGGCAGGAGCCCCGCAGACAGAAACCCAGCAGACGGCGCCAGCCGCGGGACCTGCTCTCCCCTCTGGGGCTCGTTTCCACACCGTCGGGCCCTGGCTCTGAGGTTGCAAACTATTCCGTGAGGAGAGGCTGGGTCTCTGAGCTGAGGAGGAGAGCTAGGGGTGGGGTGGTGGCCACTCAGCTCTGAGACCAGCTTGGCTGCACACCAGGGTGGAATCCCGCCCCCCAGTCAGACCTGCACTGTTGTGTTTGTTTTTTCAATTGGCCA